CAGTCTAGTGCGGCTGCACCAGCAATACCAATGGTGGACGGTACTAGGGTGATCGTTAGCATCCCTGCCCCCTTTCCCTTCTTCCTTAACCACACCCATCCCGAGGCTTGGCTGGAAGCTGTCGAAGCTCAAAACTACAGCGCAGCCGATCTTCCCCGTGTTCTGACATTGCTACTCCGCAATACATYGCACGACTGGTTCAGAAAGCATACATGGGTAGAATAGGATACTTTCAAGCGAACATTMTTGGCTCGATTCGATACGGTTAGTGAAATGCCACCTGGTATGTACTAAAAAATCGACCACAAGGACCAGGGGTATTATTGCCCGATTTCGTCCATGGATTTCAAACCACGTTGGATAAATCCGGGCGAGACGAGAATTCCGCTCGACACTTGTTTATTGATCACCTTCGAAGTCCGACCTTGAAAGGAAAATTGCAGAAAAAGGTTCCACCGAAAACAACCCAGTTATCGACTATCATCAGTAAAGCGTTGGAGCTAGACTTGGCTGTTACAAAAAAATATATCAGCCAGGGAGTCGAGGATATTACAGATACCATACGGGATGTAACGGCCAAAACGCGATTATGGCTACAGGCGGTCCAACGGTTCTATCCCCGCCCCGACCATGACCTTCCCGGCGGAATCGTCTCCGATATCCCGGCTGCTTCTCCTCCCTCTCCCCCGGTGAATCAATGAATCGTAGCCGTTAGAAGCGGAACTCCATCCGAACCCCCCTTGCCAGCCATAACCAATTTGCATCTGGCCCAGATGATCCATACGGCCACTACCAAGCAGTCCGAATGGGTGAGCAACTTGATCCAAATGAAGGCCGCTCACATGTAACGGATGGAACAGATAGTGAGCAGGCTCATCAAGCCTAACCCAGCTCCTGCTCGGCCTGCCCCTGCATCGTTTCCACTCTTACCTGCTCCACCTTCTCCAGGATTCGCCCCTCAGTTTCCCCATCTAGCTAATCCGGCAGGAAAGATCGAGTGTTTCAATTGCAAACAGCCCGGGCATTTCGCCCGAGACTGTCCGCAGTCGAAACGTAGTCAGCCTCCCCATGCTGCGGCCCCCGTCGCCCTTAATCAAGGACGAGTGGCCGCTCTGATGGACACGGACCCCGGAAGAGAACTCGTGGTTTACGTCCCAGAGCAGCCTTCCCCTTTGACGACAATGCCGTCGATATCAGGAGCTTCTTCCTCTGACGTGGTCGATCCCCTCGAGTATCTCCATCTTGCCGGAATGATCGGAGCGATCCGATCGGCCCAAGATGATCTCGAATGGGTCGATCGCGAGTCCAATCCTGGACCACAGTTTCGGACAGGGGATATTGATGTACTGAAAACGCTCAAGCAATTAGATATTCGCGTTCCTATCCCAGTAGGACATCTGCTTACCATATCTGAAGCAGCGAACGATAAACTTTTACAACACTGCCAGAAAAATCAAAAGCGCTTCACCTATCAACGCATACAACAGATGATGAAGAAGAAGGAGGAAGCTGAGGAAGTTGCGCCTCCTGAATCAGACTCAAAAAAACCTGAACCCGAAGCCGCACGTATAGCAACAATCTCGTTAGTAGAAAAGGACCACTTCGTACGAGCTCGGCTGGTCCTATGAAAAAGTGCGGGATGTGACTGTGAAGTGTGGGGCAAACCGTTTAATGCCCTTATTGACACAGGGTCTTCTGTCGTGGCCATATCATTGGATACTGTCAAAAAGACAGGACGACTTGGATCCATTCTTCCTCAATCTGGCAAAGACAACTATGTCTCTGCCGACGAGGAAGCAATGAACATCGTAGGTATTATCGAGAACGTAGCCGTAAAAGTGGGACGAGTACACGTCCTTGTTAACGCGCTCGTAATAGATGTACGTTCCTATTCTGTGTTGTTGGGATTACCCTGGGCGATGGCGGTGGGCGCACGTCTACATTTCGATTCAAAATAATTGGTGCTCACACAAACTGGGGGAAAGCCTCCGACTGTTCCTTTGCGGGTTTCCACCCGAACGATAAAATGGGTCCCTAACTCGGCTCCCATCGGGATGATTCGATACATTGATTCCGAGGAGTGTTCCCCCTCGAACCTCGGGGATGGAATCAGGGAGCGAGAATACGAAGAAGAGATGCCCAGTGAAGAGGAATGGAAACATCTGGTTGAACTTTTCGAACATGAAACCCCTGAAGAATTTCGAGTGTGCCCCGACACCGCTCGGAGCTTCCACGTGGATTCTGAAGACAGTGCATTCACACCTCTAACAGCCCAGGTCAGTCCTTCAGTCCTCCTCAGGGAACCTATATTACAAGTCTCCGATCTGGCTGATGATTTGGAACCCCCTCGCACCTTGTACGAGGGAGCTCTTTCCTTACGAACGCGCTATCAGCAACGGAACAGTATTTGGATGTCTCTGCTTTTTCGCCCAGCTCGCTATTAACGACTGGAGCCACCATCACCTTGATTAAACAAGAGGCGGAAGCACCGGTAAGTGACGTACCTAATCTAATGCAAGAAATGACGGATCTAACCGGGCTAACTGTGGAACCGACCTCGGTCGGTTCAGAAACCGACGCTGAAACTAAAGAAACGGAAATGATCAGCCCCGTTGAGTCCCAGATGATAGCAACTGTCTTCTCTGTTCGCACCAGTAGTTCCGTTTTTTCTAGTGTCAATGAGCGGCAGGAGCGGCCAGTTGATTGGATCGATATCCCCCTTAAGATGTCCGGGGAATCGACGATCACCCTCCCGAGTCACGTTCCCGCGGAACTCCGGGAGTCATTAATCTGTGTGTTAAATGGTTACTCAGAAGTGCAGAGCGTGCATGACAATGATATTGACTTAACTAATGTAACTGAGCATGCCATCCTCATAGGAGATCATCCGCCTATTAGCTGCGCTCCCTATTGATCCTCGCCAGCTCAAAGAGCGGCCGCTTTTCAGCGGATTAAGGAGTTCGAAGCTAATGGATGGATCGAACCTGCTATAGGTCCATGGTCTTTCCCTGTAGTGATCGTACCTAAGAAGGCTAGAGGGATTCACATTTGCATTGATTATCGAAAGTTGAATGATATCACGATCAAAGATGTGTATCCCCTCCCCCGGATTGATGAGTTGTTAGATGCGATTGGGAGTGCTCAATTTTTCAGCAAGTTTGATGTTCGCCATGGGTTTCATCATCTTCTTGTTCGAGAAGAAGATCATCCGAAAACGGCGTTTGTGCTTTTCGAGGGTACATGGCAGTGAATTCGATGTCCAATGGGTATCTGCAACGCCCCTACGACTTTCCAGCGGGCCATGAACATGGTTTTTCAGAACTTTGTACGGAAAACTCGTTTGGCGCAGAGCATCATCAACTACTGCGTGATTGTATACATGGATGACATCTTGGTGAATTCGAATTCCTACGAGGGACACGTGCAGCACATCGAATGGGCACTGCATGCGTTACGAGATGCAGGTTTCAAGGTGGCGCTTGAGAAGTGCCAGTTTTTCCTCACCACCATTTCTTTCCTGGGGCACGTGGTGACAGACAAGGGACTGCAACCGGCGCCGTAGAAGGTGGCAGCTGTCAGGGACGCGCCCGTACCTACCACCATCACGCAAATTCGCACCTTTCTGGGTCTAGCCTCGTATTACCGAAGATTTATCAAGGGCTTCGCGACGATTGAGGGACCCCTCACAAATCTCCTGCGCAAGGATCAGCCGTTGATCTGGACGCCGGAGTGCGATCAAGCATTTTCCAAACTCAAGGCTGCTCTCATTTCGGCTTCGATCCTTATAAGACCGGATCCTGAAAAACCTTTTGTTCTCATCACTGAATGGCAGCCAGAGGCGATTTCGGCGATTCTTGCCCAGGTGGGACCGAGCGGACTCGAGAGTGTGGTGGAGTATGCGTCCAAATCAGTGCCCGCCTGCAAGCGCACTATGTTACCACGCGTTCATTGAACGCGCGTTCCGCGTTCATTTTTTGAACGCTTTGAACGTGCGTTCACTGAACGCCCCTGAACGCAGTTGACGCGTTTGCGCAGGGGTCTGTCGGGGCTTGGGGGGTGCCTCTGAGGCCGCTAGAGGGTCGTCGGTGCTCAGGGGAGCCTGCTGGGAGGTGTAGTCCCGAAAAAAAAAAAAAAAAAAAAAAAAAGCCCGCGTTTC